CAGAGTAAGTACAGAATAATATCTTTTCTAGATTTCTAGTTACAGACTTTTCTTCATCAATGTAACATGTTCTTAATAAGGCCACATGAAAAATTTTCAATTGGCCTCACATCACAGTGTTTTTTTAAAAGAATGTGTCATATTATAACTTAAGTGATGTGTTTTAGAGCGCCTGGAGTCTAACCAAGCAAGAAAAGCTGCGGTTCAGTTGTCCTAGTTGTATGTAGACCTATTTGGATCACCATCCCAGGACTTGAAATTATTGTTTTTTTTAGAATGCAGCAAACGTTGAAGTTCTATTTTGAGAACTTTTTGTCAAAAAATAATATTTTCATAAATTATTCTATTTATTTTAAACATTTTTTATTGATGGCCTTATTAGGAGCATAGTGGTACAAATAAGGCCAATGGCAAGGGTCTTTGTTTTACGCAAAAACCACCACTTATATGTAAAAATAAATAAATTGGGGTTAATATTCAAGTAATAGAAGCGAAACACTTCACATATAAGCTCGTGAATTTTGTCGGCTTTGGTGGATAGTGTTCAGAAAAAATAAAATTTCTTAACATGGCCTTATTTGGGACAGGTACCTTAATAGAATTTGCTATAAATGCCACCAAGCGCGATAATCCCAGAAGGCTTATCACTTCTTAAGCCTCTCGTGTCATATGTGAATAATGTACAGTGAGTTGTATAATCGCTGTAATTTTGAAAATCGTCACTTGTCTTATGGGATTTCTAACACATGAGTGGAATAATCGGGGATAATACCACGAGAGCTTCAAAATTACCGATAATTTTTCACGATTGCGTGTTTTCTAAAATTTCACGAGCCCGTAGGACGAGTGAAATTTGCAGAGAAAACACGCATGAGTGAAAAATTATCTGGTTCATTTTAAAGCTCAAGTGGTATTTAGAGGATTATTTCACGTATGAAAATGCAAAAAATATGAAAATAAATATGTATTAAACCATTTGAACATCTTAACAATCAATACAAATAAATGGTTGCTATCACGAACCGTTTGTTTGTATCAAAAATTAGCATGACAACCATATATACAATAACATGGGAGAATTATCGCTGTAATTCTCTCTAGTTAAACAAATGGAAGAGAGAATTTTCGCTGTTATTCTGAAAATCGTCACTTGTCTTATGGGATTTCTAACACATGAGTGGAATAATCCACAAAATTCTTGAAAAGAAGATTTTTTTTTTTAATTTTAAATTTTAGTTTAGTTTTAGCTATGACTCCCTTAGTTTTAACATAATTTTCAATTGAATAATTTTCTTTTAGTGTGATTAATTCCCTTCTCTTCTCTCTAATTAGTTCCTCACATTTTCCATCCCACCAGTGGGCCGATCCTCGAGCCAGGGAGTGGAGCTCCCCGAGAGAACAAAATTTTCGTCCTTATCATTCTCGTTTACTTTTCGATTACGTTGACAAGGACAAAACATTCGTTCTAGCGGGGAGCTCTACTCCCTGGCCCGAGGATCGGCCACCAGGGTGTCACCTTTTTTGTACCTTCCTTCGGTAGTTTTTTGTATGGGATTACTACCTCTACTGTTTCCAAAAGGATATTTTCAAACTCTTGATAGGATTTAGGGGGATTATCCAAGCATTTCCTTTGCATTTTAGCATGGTAGATTTCCCAATTTGCCCTTTTTAAAGTTCTTCCTGGTCTTCTTCCCGAATGAAATTCATGTGAGTTCAGTCCTATTTCAATTATGATTGGGCAATGGTCATTATTCCCGCAATCTCCAATACCGCTCCATGAGGTTTTGGTTGCCAAAATGGGGAATCCCAGGGAGATATCAGGTGCTGATTTATTTTGTCCAGGCGCTGTGAGTCTTGTTGACGTTCCATCATTAAAATGGACTAAGGACGATTCCTCGATAATTTGAGACACTATCAACCCGTTTGCGTTTGTGATCCCGCTACCCGAAAGAGGATGCTGTCTGTTCAGGTCTCCCACCACCACCTTGGGATGTGGTATAGATTGGATAATCATTTTCAATAAATTCGAGGGAACTGCCACCAGAGGAGGAATATATATGTTAATAATAATTAAGTTTGATTTATTTAGTTTGATAGCCTGAATTTGAACTTTATCTGGGAAATTATAGGGAGTTAAATCATGTTCTGTATATTCAATGTTATTTTTAATCAATGTAGCTATTCCACCCTTGTCATCAAGTCTGTCCTTTCTTATTACATTGTACTGATTAAGCTTAAGTGAATGTTCTTTTTTCAACCAAGTTTCGTTCAGTGTAATTATTTCAAATTTGTACTCATGTATTAATATTTTTAAATTATCAATATCTGAAAATAAACTTCTGATGTTCCATTGTAGGATTTTCATAAATGAAATTATAGGGAATTAAAACTCATCATCCTCCATATATATGGAGTGATCATTTCCTTTTGTTATATCTTTCAAGTAGTTGTGAGCTATCTGAAGATCTGTTACCTTCAAGTTACCTATGATGTTAAATAGCGAATTTTTCATAAAATCTTCGGTCACGGAAGAGGGAAATATCCTCATCGACGATTCAGGAATAATCGCACTGACATTTACAGAGAAATTTTGTAATGATCCTCCACTAAGTCTCGTTGATTGGGAAAACAGGCATTGCTTACTTGCTTCCATTTTTTTATCAGTGGCGTGTTTACCATGTAAGCTAGGGAAGCACAGCTTCCCCTCGAGGATTTATTAAGAGCACTAAACTAAGCTTTATGTAGACATTTTCAAAAAGAGATATATGAAACTTGTGAATGGCTGACTGGTACTGAAATTACAAGTCTCTCCTGTCCTGTAGTTTCACCATCTTTCCCCACAGCTTCCCCGTCTGTTAAAGTCTGGACACGCGACTCCTTCCATATCATATCCTTTCATTCGGGTAACTGTTGATTTCCTTTTTTTCGCGACTGAAAATCTACTGCTATAGGTTGGATTGTTTTCCATAATTTGTTTTCTCTTAATTTCCTGGAAGATCTGTCTGTTTTGGTTTAATGGAGTAAAATTAGGAATTTGACTCGTGTTGGTCGCAAGAGGGGGAAATTCACTTTGTTTTGTTAGGAATTTGCTATTTTTATTAACCGTTGGTACCAATTCACTTGCCTGAAAGAAAGACATATTATCCAATGACATATATTGCCTGATTAGTTGATTGATACCATTTGGTGGGTTATTACATGTCCCAAGAATTCTACTGATTTCTTTAAAAATTCGGATTTGTCTAAATGGATTTTTAGATTGAATTGTTCTAATCTTTCAAATATCTTTTCAAGATTTGCAATATGTTCTTGAAGAGAAGTGGAAAATATAATAATATCATCCATGTAAACTAGACATATTTTGTTTTGTAGACCTATTAGAACGTTGTCCATTACTCTTTGATATGTTGCTGGGGCATTCTTTAGTCCAAAGGGCATAGGAATAAATTTATTATGTCCATTTTCTACATTGAAAGCTGTTTTACTGATCGAGTTTGGATGCGTTTCAACTTGGTGGAATCCAGAAGCTAAGTCTAGAGTAGTAAAATAATTACTTCTTCCAAGTCTGTGGAGAATGTCTATTATATTTGGTAATGTAATGGGTATTGATCGTCTATCGTTTTTTTATTGATCTTTCTATAATCTACGACCATTCGCCCTTTTTTTTATGCCGGAAGCATGTAACTTTTTAGGTACAGGGCAGGGGCGGCTTCTCAATAAGTGCGCTCGTGCGCGCGCACTGCCTCCAAAAACCAAGCAAGAAAATAAAATTAAAATTTTGGAAAGAAAAGTAACTTCAATTAAAAAATACCTACCCAATTTTCTAAATTAGGATAAATATCTACTCATTTTTCTATTTTTAAATTCGCACGAACGGAACGAAAGCGCGCCCTGCGCCTGTCTTGTATATTTTTTTCTCCCGCTTGGTTGTGCTGGTGGTCCGGGTGGTCGGTGTGGAATCGTTCGGCGCTCTGGGTAAATGTGTTTTCTTGCTGTGCGATTGATCGGGAATATACGGTAAGTCGCCCGATGAAAGGGATGCGCCGTGCGCTATTTGAATACACACTTCCTATGTTGTTTCCACTCAATCGAGAATATTTCGATGTTTTTTCACCATTTTGGCGGTTTGACAACTCTGTTGTTCGCGGTTTTTTTTTTAATTATAAATTTCAGTATCAATTATGTATTATGGCTAGAATACAAACATTCAAGCCTCATTTAAATACATATATTTTTGTTTTCGATAATTTTTCCTAAAGTAAAAAGAAAAAAAATCAACATACAAAATAAATGTAAAACAGGACGTGGCACCTCCAAAAAATTTTCCAAGAGCGCACAACCACACTAGGTTGCCACTGGTACAGGGTCACCATATTCTGTCACCCACCTGCAGCCATAGTTACAGGTGATAGGTAAAAGGTGTAAATACAAAAGTTGTAGCATTTCATCTGAATCGCCAGAATTTTTAATTAGATTGAACAGATGAGCAACGCAAAGTAAAAAAACATGTCGTTATTCACTTTTTTCAAATGGCATGCCCTTTATTTGGTTCTGGTTGAGAGGTTTTGTATCTGAAAATTCAATCTCAGGACTTTAGCATTCTGAATATCCTACCGACTGCGCCAATTATATCTTTCGTCCAGTAAATCTTGTTTTTTAAAAACTATTTATTTTATTAAAAACTAAAAAGTTACTACAAAAAATTCTAGACTCTAATTGCTGTGGCAAATACAGGAATCTTTTGCTATAGCGAAATTTAAAAACAAAAGAATGAGCAGAGAGCTCCGCTACTAAAATTCTGCCGACTTTCGCAACTGTGTGGGTTAAACCTTGATATGACGGTACTTTTCCAGGCAATATCCCTTATTCAGCAACTTTTTAATATCGTGGGCTTTTACAGTAGCGTATGCTTATATGTAACATTGAAAAGGGGAATTATTTGTTTAATAATAACATAGGGATTTTTAATATAACTCGGTTAACAAAAATAAAACAAAAAATTCAAAATGAGAATATTTATTTACATACTCGCGTAGGTACATTGACAATCTGCGGATTCTGTAAGTAAATCCTCAAATAATTGAGGCCCCTTTGTTTTTTATTTTTAAATTAGCTCTTATACAAACTATGAAAGGTTGATTTTTATTTTTTTTTATAAATGTTACTCGAGTTTTGCTTGCTTCGATTTTACAATAGTGAGATGATTGAAATTATTTTTGTTTTATTCGATTAAAAACAACATTTAACAACAAAATAAAAAATTAGCTCAAAGTTTATAGAAAGCGAGTATTTTCTTTTTTTGATGGGCTCTATATAGAAAAGTTTGACGGCTAAGCGTTCTAGCTACGGCTATGCTAAATTAATAGAGAATACTCGCCTCTAAATGCCACTCTATCAAAAACAAAATAATTATGATCTATGTAAAACGGAAAAGAAACAATATAGAAATTTAACAATATATTTTTATATTATAATATGTATGTATCTACAAGTTTTATAGTGATTTTTTTATTAATAATATATTACACAATATCCTAAAACCTACAAAGAGGGTATGGGCAGATATTCACGGTATTTAAGTCCCTAATTTTTCAATTTAGCATGGAGAGAGACAATAATTTTTCCTGAAAATGTCTTTTTTGTTGAAGCTGCCATACTTAAATATGTAAAATAATATTTCTGATCTTGGCATAGTCTCTCCAAATCTACGTTTTGAGAATGAATTTAGAACCAATAAACAGCCTTGAATGTTTTAAATTTGAATAAAAGAGGAGAATATTACTCAAGGTATGATGAAACTATTACTGAAAATTCTTGCAATTCCCCGTAATAGCACCTTATCACTTTTTTCTTTATGGTAGGTACTGACTTTATTGGCAGCATTTTTTTAGAATAATGAATTCTGCTATCACTGGATTCGATTGTTAGTTATAGTGTATTTGGTATAAAAGAAAAATATAAACAGCAATCCAATTTTTAGAATGTTTGGGTTACACATCAGTATATTTTTTTGAACCTGTTGGCTACTGATATACGGTCACAGGATTTTGTTCTTAAATTATTAGAACAAAGAAAACACATTTTGAAAAATCCTACCAGGCATATGATTTGAAATGATTTATTATTTCGCTCAGTGCTAAATAAATGAAAATTAAAAAAATCTGGTATGATTAAAATTCCTCAGTGTTACCAATAAACAAACTTGTACCAGGTATGGTAAACTTTGGTATGGTGAAAGAAAAAAAAAATTGTCTTTAAAATCCTACTGGGCATATCATTCAAAATAATTTATCAAGATTGATTTGGTGTTGCAAGTTACACTGTATACACCCTGATTTACGTAGCCCGTGAATTATAAATTTTCCAGATTACAGGTAGATTAGTAGAAATAGCATTTAATCCACCTGCAATCTAATGCACGGGCTATGTAAATCATCCTGTATAGTAATTCAAAATGATTCATCAATGCCCCCCACAAAGCTCACTATTGCCAATTAAAAAAGATTAGCATTTCTAGTAATAAAAATTCCTAGAAAATTTCCACCGAGTAGATGAACCAGAAAAATGCTACTTTCAATACACATAAAAAAAAAATATTTTGTGAAATGAAGTTTCTGTCTTGTTGAATCATTCTGAATGGTCCATTGCAAAAGGCAATTCGGACTGTGACCAACTTCAGCTGTTATCATTATTAGCCAACGTGTAAATTTACATTTTCTTTTTGCAATCGCTTAAATTTACCAAAAAGCTAATTTTCTTGTTAAAAAAATAAAAAATAAATATTTACTTTAGATAATAAGAACAAAAAAATAAAAAATAAAAGCCTATTTGTTGAAAAAAACATATATTACACCTTTTTTTAAACATGATTTTTCAACACAAAAAAAAAGTGTACACTAAAATAGACTAGCTCTACTTAGCTTTAAAAGTATGTTCTTTTTTTTTGTTTAATAATAATAATCATCTTTTTACAACAATGTATGTATTATTAAGTCATTAATAGTTAGATTTACGTTTTTTTTAGGTACTGCACGGTACCCATTCCCTTGAATATTTTTTCTATGTTTATGTGCACACTAAAAAATGTCATTTTATTTTGTTTTTTTATTTTTATAACTTGAGACACTATATTATAGTTACTTGACATGAATCTACAAGGAGCGGTTTGTTTCACATGTTTTAGTTTTTAATCCAATATATGGCGGCTGACAAATTTGACAGTTCTATTGAGAAAATATAAATTAATTAATATAATTAAGCAGGACTAAACTATTCTTACCGTCCGAGCCTAAACCCGAGTCACTCTGGACACAACGTATCACTTCTTGCCACCAATGGGTGGGTTGTTATTTTGGGTGGCAGTTTGACCACCAGTACCAGTCGATTGGGTAGGGTTCGGACTACTTAAAGCAGCACCGCCACCACCTGTAGAATTGGGCGAATTTTTGTTGTGGTTCAATTCGAGCTCGGCCAGCCGTTTCCATAGCTCTTCCCTATCTTTTTCTCGCTTCTTTTCTCTAAAAAATATCAATTTAAAATTATTACTGTAATAATTTGACTTGATTTATAATTATTTAATTTATAAAATTTATTATTTGCGGGAGAAATAAAACGCCTTATTTCGTTGCTGAATCGTAAGTGAGAAGAATGATATATTTCTGGGTACTCACGGTATGGTTAATGTAAACAATATAATAAAAAGCATTGGAATGTATACAGAACGGTACTATCAACTTAAATATAGGGTGAGTTTACTACACCTTCCTACCTCAATGGCAAAGTTACACAACAACTTACAAACAATCCCCTTATATGTATACAAAACCAAAATAAAATAAAATCATGTATTCCCAAACATTATTACTTAGTACAATGCTAATACTAAATCCTTATAATTAATTTAAATACATTTATTCATTCCAAATGAAAATAGACTTTCCCAAATATTACTTTAATACAGTTTAAGCTTAAGAAGAAAAAAAAATAGCTATTTATACAATAAGTTACGAAATGAGCGTCTTTTAGGCACGCGACGTGAAAATTGTCCAACGAGGCAAAGCCGAGTTGGACAACACGTCGAGTGACTAAAAGACACCGTTTCGTAACGTATTGTATACAAGATTTTTTCTACTGGCATTTTATAATAAAAAAACACAATTTTATTTCATGTGAATAAGTCGATTACACCCAAAATCTTTGTTACCTGCTTTTACTTGACACCTGACACTTTTCATGCGATTTTCTTTTCAAAATTCGACATCAATAATTAAAATCCTAGAAAGTAGGTAATAACACAAAGTTCTGTTTTGAGTAACCCAAACGTTCAATTCAGTAATTCAATTTTCAATATTCATAATAAATACAAAACAAAATTCAAATATGTGTTTAGTGTGTTTTTTATTTCTGAATAATGAATGACACTTTTAGGCACTAGTGCTTAAAAATTACTTTTACGCACTCATAAGTCACTTTTACGCATTCAAAAGTCACTTTTACGCACTGAGTGCCTAAAAGTAACTTTCACGCACTCAGTGCCTAAAAGAATGTCGTTTCAAAACTGAAATGACAATCGAAAAGTTGCTATTATGAAACGTCAGTAGAAAAACATTATTTTGTACCTATTTATAATAATAACAATCGATACCTAATCAACCAAAGGATACCTTTTTATAGAATTTGCATAAAAAATATATATATTTAACTTCAATTATCATTCACAGCCTCAGAATCAGTATTTGTATTTTTTTTTTGAGATCGTAAATTATACCTAGCATTAATAACACTCGGAGTAGAATTAGTATCTAACTGAGAAGAAGTCGAAACAACTTTTTCGGAAAAAATGGGTTCGGCTTCTGTATTGTGCAAAGTCGAATTATCTGGAAAAATGACAGGCATCGCAGAACTAGGCCTAGTATTTTTTGAAATCGATTTTCGAAGTTGATTAGAATGACGCCTATACTCTCTTCCTTCTTTATTTTTTATATCAAATATAACCGAGCCTTCCTGACCTATTACTTTCCCTTCTGACCGTTGAATTTCCCTGATTTCCCTGAAAATCCTTAAAAAAAACGTTATCACCAATATTGAACTCTCTCTTGGTTCCTCCAAAACATTTCTTTTGTATTTCAATGTTTTCCTGAATAATTTTTCTCGAATCTGGTCTAATTAAATCAAGTTTATTTCTTAAATTTCTTTGGAACATGGATTGGGCAGGGCTCACCCCCGTTACACAGTGTGGAGTGTTTCTGTAGTCAAACAAAAATTTTTCCAAAAATAAATCGGGGTCTTTTTTATCAAACATTGCTTTTTTCAGGGCTATTTTAAAATTTTTTTACGGAATTTTCAGCTTGCCCGTTGCTTTGAGCATGCTTGGGGGTGGAAAATAATTGTCTAATTCCATTTAATTTCAAATATTGCTGAAAATCAAAAGAAGTGAAGGGGGGGCCATTATCAGATACCACTTTCTTCTTCTTCTTCTTCTTCTTCGTTATTTGGCACTGCTACAAGGCAATTTGCCAGCTCATTCGGTGGAATTCCCAGATTGTCGAGTATGTACTCCTGAGAACTCCCATGTGTGCTAAGTTGCTTTTTATAAAATAATTACGATACACTTCAAGAACTCGCTGTGAATACATTCAATAAAATGAGGCTTATTTTAGTATATAGACAAACACAACAAAGGTTAAGACTCTTCTTGCTCCCGCGCAGCGGAGGAGCTACACAAAGGGTGACTGCGTCGGTTGGACAGGGAGGGGGCACTGGGTGAAATGGGTAGTAGTAGTCTGATATTTCTGTGAAAAGCTAGAGAAATTTTTGATGCATTACTATCAAATGAATTGTTTCTTCATAGTTTAATTTTATTGTAATTCAAGAATTTCATTAATAAACTTATTGTCTCTATATTAATATTACATAAAACCGAGGTGATATTCAGGGGTAAATTCATACCTTGTTCTCTAAGTTTATCATATAAATTGAAAGTAGGAATTTCATTAATCGGGCACTCAAAGAAGATGTGGTTCAAGTCCTCCGTCCTGCCACATTCGCACAAGGGGTCATCCCCAATGCCCATTTTGAAAAGGTGTAGTTTAGTCAGGCAATGGCCGGATCGCATTCTTGTTATAACAGTGATGTGTCTTCTATCCACGTAAGGAAAATTAGAGAACCATTTTTTTTTTGGAAAAGATGACTGGATGTTTTTGTACTGCTTTCCCTTAATTTGTAAGGATTTTTTCCAATCTTCATCATGCTTGAGTAATATATCTGCTTTGATTAAGTTTGCAATTTCCCCTTTGTCAATATCAATGTTTTTGGGGACGTTCAAATCTCTACCAATGTTTGCCAGTGTGTCCGCCATTTCATTTCCAGGAATATCCGAATGTCCCGGGATCCAGGCTAGGTATATTTTATTTCCTATCTCATTAGCTTCTGTGATTAGTTTTTTTGTAGTTAGTGTGACATGGTCGGTGGATATGTCTATGTAACTTTTAGACAATTTGGTCACAGCACTTAGTGAGTCCGTGAAAATGATCGCGTTCTTCAAGTTTTTCCTTAGTACAATATTGGCTGCTTCGTAAATGGCAATCGTTTCTGCAGTGCAGATGCATAGTTCCCCTTGTAGTCTTGCCGAAAATCTGAAATCGATATCAGGGATGTATATCCCGAAACCAGCCCTGTCCCTTTTTTTAGAGGCATCTGTGTAGATGAAGTTAAACTTTTTCTTAAGTTTCTCAGTATCCATCAAAAACTGTGATTTAGTAGTCAACTCTCTTTTTTTGAGGCTAAGGTCCAAGTTTCCTAGGGGCTGAGTTTGAATGTCATAATCGAAGTCATAGCATGGTTGTATATCTTTTTTGTATATTTTGTTAAAATATGGGAAGAAACGAGTTAATGCCTGTACAAGGTAAGGACTATGCTGTTCCTTCCAGGACCCTGCATTACGTGCATAGCATTGATGTAATTGTCTAAGATCTAGTATTAATGGGTGGTTGAGTATTGAAATGGGTTTCGTAAGAAATTTGACGCCTAACCACTTTCTCCTGTATTCTAGGGACATCGTTGCTGATTCGGCCAGTAGGACATTGGTGGGGGTAGACCTCATGCATCCTGTACAAATTCTCAGTCCTTCGTATAGTATACCGTTCAATTTGTCCTTGTTTTTTATTGAAGTTGGATTTATAAAAATAGATCCAAAATCTAGGTGGGATCTCACCAAAGCATTGAATGCAATCAAAAGTGTTTGTGGGTCCGCTCCCCACCAAACTCTAGCAAAGCATTTTATCACATTTATCCCCTTTCTTGCTTTGTTAGATATATTTTCTATATGTTTATCCCATTTTAAATTTTTCTGTAAAATAACTCCTAAGTATTTGACATGGTTTTTATAAGGGATGATTGAACCTCCAATCGTTATGTCTGGGGGAGCGACCCTTCGCGCACCTTTAGTAAACCAAACGGACTCGCATTTCTCGATTGAGAGGGTTAAGCTATTTTCCTTTAGCCATTTATCGGCTTTATTCAAAGCAACGTTAATTTTCTGCGATAATGTTTGTACGTTCTTGCCTTTGCAGAAGATTACCAAGTCATCAGCATATCCCATCAGATTAACATCATTCGGTAGGAACTTAAATAGATCTGCAATATAAATGTTGAAAAGGACAGTACTAAGAGGGGAACCTTGTGGGAGTCCTGAAGTTGCCAGGGTAGGTCCTGCGAAGGAACCATCATTTTTTCTGGAGAATAAAGATCTGTTTGATAATAATCTGAATATAAGGTTTGACAGTTCCATCGGTGTGCCTGCCTTTTTCAATTTGTCATACAATGAATATAAGTTCACTCCGTCATAGGCCGATTTGATGTCTAAAAATACTGCCAATACGGTTTCATTTAGATTAAAAGCTAGATTTATGTGAGTTGTTAGTGTTGCAATATTGTTATTGATTCCCATCCCTTTTCTGAACCCTGTTTGGAGCCAGCTGAAGGTCTTTTTGTTTTCTAGCCACCAATCCAGGCGATTTTTAGTCATGATTTCCAAGATCTTGCAGTAGCAGGATAATAAGACAATAGGCCTATAGTTCTCCACATTTAAGGGATTTTTATTTGGTTTTAGGATCGGAATGATATTGTAGTTTTTCCAAGATTGTGGAATTGCGTTTCCTGAGAGGCAATTATTATAAGTTCCCAAAAGGATTCTCTTTGCTGTCTCTGGTAGGTAATCCAACATTTTATAGGTAGTTTCGTCCATTCCGGGAGCAGAAAGGCTTTTTCCCTTTAACCCGTTTTTAAGCTCTTGGAGAGTGAAATGTTTTATATTGTCAGGCAGCGGGGACAGTGTAAAGTTGGGGTCGATGTTGCAAACTGCCATTCTGTTAATCATTTCTGTGTTGATATCATTATTAATAGTTGTTTTGTTAAAGGATTTATGCACATTCGAAAACTTTTTAATTTTTTGCCAAACGTACGTCAAGTTAGATTCTCTGTTAAGAGACTCACAGAATTGTAAGAAGTTTGTTTTTTT